CTTTGCTAATTTATCAAGATCTTTATTTTTATTATCAAATTTTATACTCTCTTTTTCTTTACAATAATTTTTATCAAAATATGTCATTAAAGCTAATGTTACATCTGCAGATGGTACAAAACTTGTCTTCATATTTTCATATGTAAATCTTAAATACTCTCCTGCGTCAATTACATTAAAATGAAAACAATCATATACAAACTTTTGTTTTGTTAGTAACTTAACCTCGTCATAAATATAAAATGCGTACATTACTAAAATAAACCTATCTAAATCATTCTTTACTGAATTGATCATTTCCATTAATTTTGTTCTATTAGCAAATTCATTTACAGAATAGAAATCATTGAAACGTGTGTTAAATTTATTTATTATTGAATTTATAAACATTTCTGTGAACTCTATTGAAGATATCATTGTTTCATTTAGTATTAAGTTATTTTCTGATAACTTTATTCTTAAAACAAACGGATTCAACATTTTATAAACTCTTCTTCTCATTTTCACTTCTTTTAAATTAGAATTTTAAATTTAATTAGTTTAATTTTAAAAACTTTCCCTCCAATTGTTTTATTAAAAGTTACAATTTTTTACCCCCTATGATATACGACGAAGAAAATAAAGAGAATATTGCTCCTAGTGACTATAGAACCATATCTAAACCCCGAAATCCCACTACAAAGAAATATTTAAGTAACTTATCTAAAATTAATAGATCTCAAGGTGATGGCACTTTAAAAGAAAGGAAATCAAATGAAGTAAAAGAAATAAATCTTTCTAGTTTTACTGATGATTTTGTTGAAAGAAAAAATAAATTTGGTTTGTGAATAAATTTTTAAATAGAAAGATTTTTTAAGTAATTAAATTTTTTTATATAGAAAATATAGTGAATAAAGAAAATATTGTGAATTTGGTTTTTTAAAAAATTTATTTAAAATTTAAAAAAACTTTCAGCATATTGAGGCATTAAAGATAAAGCATAAGAAAAACAAATAATGTTGTTTATACTTTTAGTTAATTCATAATTTTTCTTTTTTAAATTTACTTTAAGATTTTTACTTGCTAATTTAATTTGATTAAATCCCTTTTTTAATTCTTTTTTAACAAAAACTTTATATTTATCTTTACTTAATGTAATTGATCCAACATATTTATCAAAATGTGCAAAATTATATACTTTTTCCATAAATTTTTTAAAACTGTTTAAAAATTTTTTATCTAATTCCTTCTTTTGAATATTTACCTCTTCTGTTTCTATATATTTTAAAAATGGTTTAAGTAATTTATCTTTGAATTCATTATAATATCCAATTTCAAAATTATCACCTTTTAAAAAATTATTAATATTGTTTACAATAAAAAATTCTTTATTAAAGATAATAAAATCATTTAAAAGTTGATATTCAAATGTATTGTTTATAGAAATCTGATTGTTTTTAAAAGAACACTTACAACTTATACATGATGCTTCATCCTCAAGAATCCTGTTGCAAATACCTAATCTAAGAATCTCAAATATGTCTTTATATCGTTTAAAAAACACATTCACTGTTTCTGTATCATAATCTTTTTGACTTTCTTTAAACTTATTGAATTTTTCAATATCTTTTTTCACTGTTTTTGAACAATATTTTCTTTGACTTTCTTTAAACTTATTGAATTCTTTAATATCTTTATTATAAAAAATACAAGCAAGTTCACGTACTGATGCAAAATTTTGGATATTTCTAAACCTTTTATTTTTTGAATAGTCATTGTCAATTTCACGTATCATTGTAATTACTTCATGATGAGTGAAACAAGTTTCTAAAAATAATTCATCATCTGTTTTATTAGAATCTTCTTCTAATAAAATTTCATGAGGATTTAGAAATAAAAAAGTGTATAATGTTTTAATCATCCATTTTTCATGGTTGGTTTTGACAACATTACATTCTTCATTGTTGTTTTGATTGCTGTTATTTCCATTAACAACTTTTATTAAATTACACAAATAGAAAATGTTCATTAAGGGGATATCAAAATATTTTTTTATAAATAATTTTTTTAACAAATTATAATTACAATGTAAAAACGATAAAAAACAGTTTATCAAAATTTTATCAAATCTGTAAAAGTGATTCTTAATTTATTTTGATAGTAATGACAGATAATTAAAAATAAATAAAATTTGATTTATTTAAATATAAAAAATTATTTTATGAAATTAATAATGATATTTTACAAAAATTATAGTTTCTTATTTAATTGATATTTTATAAAAAAATTATTTATTAACCCTTTATAAATTAAAAAGGAACGTATTGTTTTTAAATCATATAGATAAAAAAAATTATAAATTATAACTTGGTTGGTATTTTTTTTAGTTTATAATTTATTATAAAGGAGTTTTGATTATTAAATAAAATTTTAAATTATTAAAAACTTTAAGTATTTATAAAACATCATAATGCTTCTTATTTAAAATTAATTAATCATATAAAATTAACATTTAAAGATATTTTTATAAAAACTTATATAATTTTAATTAATTTTTTATTATAAAAGATAATTTTTAGATTTTTATAATGTCAAATAAAATAAAATAATAACAATAATTAGTATTTATAAATCATATAATAAAATCAATTATTTTTCTTAAATATTACACTTTTATCTTTTAATTAACTTATATAAGATATATGAATTACATCAATATTCCTTAAAATATTATCAATGATAAATGTAATACTTTTTTAATAATATTTTAATTAAATTATTTATAAATTTATATCATCAATAATGATATCATCAAACTTTTTTAATATTATCATTAGAAATATTAATAAAAATGATCAATTATAAAATTTTTTAGTTAAATCATAAAATTTATTAACAATTTAATAAAATAAACTATTGGCATATTTAGGTAATAAAGATACAACATAAGAAAAACAAATAATATTATCAATATCCTCGGCTAATTTATAATTTTCTTTTGTAATAACAGTTTTAAGTTTTTTTCCTATTAATTCTACCTTTTTAAAGTTGTTTTTTAATTTTTTTTAATAAAAATTTGGAATTCATTTTCACTAACAGTCTCCAATTTATATTTTCTAAGATTCTTAATTTTAAAAACATCACACATAAAACCTTTAAACCGTTCTAAAAATTCATAAATCAACTCATTCACTTTTAAACCATTCTTGAATTCTTGATCTTTCAAATCATATAAAAACCTAAGAAAACCTTCTTCAAATTCTTTCTTACACCCATTTTCAATTTCTTTCTCATATCCTTTTTCAATTTCATTCTCATATCCTTTCTCAAATTCATTCTCTTTTAAAAAACTTTTAAATTTTTTAATAATTAAAAAGTTGTTGTTCAAATTATAAATAATAAACTTATATAGAATTTGATAATCAAAGAGTTCATCTGATTTCTTAAAATTTTGATAAATATTTTTAAAATATCTTAAAAACTTTCTATAAAACTTATTGTTCTTAAAAGTAGTATTTTCAAGATTTGAACATAAAATCATAAACATCATTCTGTAATGTTTAAAAAATATATCATTTGATTGAGGAAATCTTTCTATTTGAAATTCTTTATACCTTTTAAACTTTTCAATATCTTTATCATAAAAAAGCTCCACAAATTCACATAGTGATACATAAACTGATATGTCTTTATACTTTTCATATTTAGGATAGTAAATCTCAATTTCTCTGGTCATTGTTTCTACTTCGTTGTCAGTAAAACGTGTATCTAAATACAATTCTACATCAGTGTTTTTAGAATTATTATCGAATAGAATTTCATAAGGATTTACGAATAAAAACGTATATATCAATTTAATCTGTCCATTAACATTGTTTTGTTCACATTTATCATTCTTCTCATCATTAGATTTATTTAAAATACTATAAGAATAATTATTTTCACAACTTATCTCTATTAAATTTTGTAACCAATTAAAATTTTTCATGGGATAAAAAAATGCCTTTTAATAAATTAATTTTGAAATTAATTATTAAATAATAAGTTTTAATATTTAACATATTTTACTTAGTTAATTAAAGATTTTTATGATTTATAAAAAAGTAATTAATTTTTATATTTTTATATTAATTTTTTTTGCTTTTAAGTTATTTTAATTACAATTTAGAAGCTGTTATAGATTATAATACCTTTTTAACTTTTTTAAAGTTTGTAGGAACTATAAAATCTATGTTCAATAGGCAGTGTGAATTTTGTGACAGTTCAAGACTCTCTATGAGGACTAGAAAGATAGTTGACACTCGTTTTTTTATCTAATGTAAGTCATGTCATAAAAAACAAAGTTTCTTTGCTGATATTTTCTTTTGTTATGAAGAAGGAAAATCACAACTTGTTACATCAGTTCAAAAACTAGTAAAACTTATTTTCATTTATTTCGAGGAGAGAACAGTATCTTATATAATGACCGTGACTCAAATTAAAGGAACTGATACAGTGACTAACTCAGTTAATTGCATCAGATTAGAAGTTAGTAACCATATCATTGGTGGAAAATACGGAAACCCAGGGAGAGTTGTACAAATAGAAAAGTCTCTTTTTAAAGGTCGAAAATACAATAGAGAAATAATTCTTCTTGTTTACTATATGTAAGTAATGGGTTAAACAACCGAAATTAAAGAACTTTGGTAATAGAGTTGACGGGTTTTGGAATGACAAATTAGGGTTATAATAAAAATAAGATGTTTGCAATAAAGAAAAGAGTGAGTGACACTTTATTACCACTAAGTTTAAACATATGGATAAAAAAAATCATTTTTTAGATAATTGGAGAGCTTACCATATGTTAAATTATTGTTTTTATAGACATGATATGGTTAACCAAGGCGAAAACTTCATAAACCCAACAACTGGTTGTCATACTTAGTTGATTGAATGTATGTGGAGACATACAAAACTTAAAATAATAAGATAAATTTTATTATTTCTTTTTTACAAAACCACTTGAGCTTTTTTGCTTCACATCTAATATAGAGGATCGAAAATTTTAGAATTTATGAGATTATTAAGAAAATACAATAAAAAATTATAGGCGACAATCTAACTGAGGGATTAAATTTATAAAATAGAGCACTCGTCCAAATAGTGCTAAGATTTGTGTTTAAATCAATCTTAATAGATTAAAAACTATTATACTTTTAATCTTTAAATAACAAATAGAATAAATAAGATTTTAGTTTTAATCATTAAGTTTATTAACTTAGATTATAAAATAAATAAAATTAAAAGGTTGACTTTAATAATAATTTAAATTATTCAAAAACTTTAGGTTATTTATTATCATTAGAAAATATACTCTTTATATTTAAAACATAAAATTAATAAAATTGTTTAAAATTTACATTATTTAAAAGTATAAAAATGATTTTAAAAAATTATAAAGAGCAAGTAATTTAAATTTTTAATACTATTTGTTTTGAATTAATTATTTTAATTACTGTTTTTAACTAAATCATTAGAAAAATTAGGTATCCATAATATTATATAAGAAAATCTAATTATCTCATTAATACTCGTAATTAACAAATAATTATTATTTTCTAAAATAAGTCTTAGACACCCTCCTACTTTAATTAATTTTTCATAATTTTCAATCACTTCATTAACTTGTTTATCATAGACACTTTTCATGAATATT